ACTACTACTACTACTACTACTACTACTACTACTACTACTTTCACTATTACTACTACTTTCACTATTACTACTACTACTACTACTACTACTACTACTACTACTACTACTACTACTACTACTACTATTACTACTACTACTACTACTACTACTACTACCACTGCCACTGCCACTGCGACTGCCACTACCACTACCACTACCACTACCACTACCACTACCACTACCACTTCCACTACCACTACCACTACCACTACCACTAGTACTTCTCGTCGTCCCTAGAGCCCTAGGGCAAGCAGTCCCTAACGCCAGTACTTCCAATGGCTAGTAGTCCCTAGCGCCAGTACTTCCTAGCACTCCCTTGGACTAGCACTCCCTAGGACTAGTACTCCCTAGGGCTGGTCCTCCGTAGCGCGAGTACTCCCTAGGACGAGAACTCCTTTGGACGGGTAGGCCTTGGGGGTAGTAATTCCTAGGAATGGTACTCCCTGGGGCTAGCACTCCCTACGGCTAGTACCCCGTAGGACCAGTACTTCCTATGAATGGTATTCCCTAACACCAACACTACAGCACCATAGTATTACCACACTACAGCACCAGTACCACTATACCAGTACCACAACACCACAACACCGCTACCACAACACCACAACACCGCTACCACAATACCAGAACCACAACACCACAACACCGCTACCACAACACCACCACCACAGCACCACTGCCACTACAACAACACGACTACCTACTAACAACTCAACAACACTACCAACACCACACCATTAACACAACACTACCAACACCATACCACTAACACAGCACACCATTACCAACACCACACCACTAACACAGCATACATCACAATCAGCCACTACCAACACCACACCACTAGCACAACACTTCCAACACCACATCACTAACACAGCACAGCGACCACCACACCACTAACCCAGCACTACTACCACGTTGGTTCCAGGTGGGAGTTACTGTGGCCACTTTTGCCTGCGCGGGAGTGGGTTTCCTTAAGGGTTGCGAATCTCTCCAGATCTAACATGAGATGCTTTTACAGATGAATTTTCATTGAGCGGCCTGCGCGGGCCACAGTAGCTCCCATCCGGCCGCGCGACGGGCCACACTAACACCCAACGGGCCACACTAACACCCAACGGGCCACAGTGACAACCAGTCGCGGGCCGTCGGTGCACAGCCCGGGGCCCTGCCGCTTCCCAGACCTCCTCGCGCTGCGGAACAAAAATACGACGGGAGGTTTTTTCACAGCTTTCGGCCTCGGGGGGACCTTCGCCGGGCCCCGGGGAGTGTCAAAAAACGATTCAGGACGAAAAACCGGTCCCGGGGAAGTGGTGTGGGCCTCCTGGGTCCACGCACCAAAACGATGGGAGCAGGCGGATGTCTCTGGCCCAGGGCTTTACCACATGTGCGGGGGCCACCTCAAGCACGCAAGCCGTTGCTGTGAAGTCGGGCCTGTCCCTCTACAGGAGGAACGTTCAAAGATAGTAACAAAAATAGTCCAGGGACGATTTTTATGGCTCTTTTAATTTTTCGTCCAATATCCGCCTGTTGGGGGGCATGCCCGACCTAACACTACTGCTGCATCGCACGCAGCGATCTGCACGCCGCGCAACAAAGGTTACTCCTGCCTGCGGTCACTCGTGTGTGTGTGTAGCCGAAGGAGCTGGAGAAATGCTCAAACTTTGTCGACGAGTGCGTGATCGAGTTTGACTGCAAGATGTATGCCGTGCTCGAGAATGCTGGCTTCCGCCGCGTGATCGTCAACCGGGAGGGCTGCATAGAGCACACCGCAACGGTCTACTACAAGACCGTCGAGGGCAGCGCCAAGGCGACCAACGACTACACCCACACGGAGGGAACGCTTGTTTTCAAGCCAGGCGAGACAACTCAGAGCTTCAAGATCTTCGTCGTCGACGACACGGCCTTCGAGGAGGACGAAGAGTTCTACGTAGAGCTTTCGGATCCAAAGGTCGAAGGAGGTGCACAAGCCACGATCGGCCTGAACAACGTCCTGACGGTCATGATCATCGACGACGACGACCCCGGGATCTTGTCCTTCGAGGAGGAGTATACCACCATCCAGGAAGACATCGAGGACAAGACGGTGGAGTTGATCGTGAAGAGGGTTTCTGGGTCCAGAGGCAAGATCACCGTCCAGTACAAGACGGAGGACGCCTCGGCCAAGGCCAGCAGGGACTACGAGAGCCAGTCCGGCGAGCTCGTGTTCGAGGAGGGGGAGAACGCCAAGGCGATCCGGGTGCTCATCTACGGTCGGGGCAGTTACGCCCGCAAGGATTACTTCAGGGTCTATCTCACGGACGTCACGGGCGGCGCCAAGTTCGACCCGAAGACGGACGGCGGCGCCGACAAGGACATCATGACGGTGTTCATTGAAACGCACAAGGAGGGGACGGAGTTCACTGACAGGCTCATGGATCAGATGCAGGCCAGCTGGATGCGGGCGAAGATTGGGCACGCCAACTACAGAGAGCAGTTCAGCGCGGCGCTGCAAGTGAACGGCGGCTCGGACGAAGAAGAAGAGGAAGCAGCACCACCCAGCGCTATGGACAAAGCGCTCCACGTCGTCAATCTTCCCTGGAAGATCACGTGCGCTTTCATCCCTCCCACGGACTACTGTGATGGTTGGCTCTGCTTCATAGTCTCCCTGCTGGTCATCTCGGCGGCGAGCCCGGGGGGAAGTGAGAAGGAGAAGGCCTTGTCAGAGCAGTCCCCCCAACCTTTTGACAAGGTTTCCAGGCCCTCCCCGAAGACACGGAGCACCTCGGAAGGACAGAGGGCTTCGGAGAAGCGCCGCCGCCGCCTCAGAGGGCCCTCTCCTTCTCGCTTCCCCCCCTCGCTCGCCGCCGGTCCTCGGTGCCATCACCGCCCTCATCAGCGACCTGGCCAGCCTGCTCGGCTGCGTCGTAGACCTGCCAGACGAGGTTCTGAGGCGGGGATGTATCCATGACCGCCGCCTGCCCTGACTCCGGATCCGCCCTACTCTGGGGAAATTCGTAAGTGGGGCTTGGAATTTCCGCCTTACTTTTCAAGCCCCGCTGATGCCAATTTCCGCCCTACTTTTCTGTTGCTGTTTCCGCCCTACTTCTGCGGGTCTCCGCCCTACTTTATGCTGGGTGCAGACATGAATCTCCGCCCTACCTGTTCGGCTTCCTATAGCTGGATTTCCGACGCAATGTTAAGTTGGGAAAACAGCCAAAGCAGGGCGGATCTGGAGTCAGGGCAGGAGGAAAAACCGGTCCCGGTCCCGGACCCCCGCCGTCGTGATTTTTTCGCAGCGCCGACCCCCAGCGGTCTGGACCCCTTCCCCGGGACTGGTTTTTCATCCTGCGTCATTTTTTGACGCTCCCGAGGCCCGGGGAGGGCCCCCCGAGGCCGAAAATAGCGAAGAACCTCCCGCGTCGTGATTGTTTCACGACGCCAGGAGGGAGGGAGGGAGGGAGGGAGGGAGGAGGGAGAGGAGGAGAGGAGGAGGAGGAGAGGAGGAGGAGGAGGAGGAGGAGGAGGAGGAGGCGGGGGGGAGGAAGGAGGAGGAGGAGAGGAGGAGGAGGAGGAGAGGAGGAGGGAGTGAGGAGGAGGAGGAGGGGAGGAGGAGGACGAGGAGGAGGACGAGGAGGAGGCGAGGGAGGAGGAGGCCGAAAATGGCGAACGAACACCTCCAGTCGTGTTTGTTTGTTTTTTTTTTCGCGGATCGATCTCCGCGGGCCTCCACGGGCGGCGGGTATGGATGTAGTCAGTCCCCCGGGGGCAGAATACAACTGCGGGCGGACGCCCCCTCCTCCTCCTCCTCCTCCTCCTCCGCCATCCTCTCCTGCTCCTCCTCCTCCTCCTCCGCCTCCTCCTCCTCCTCCTCCTGCTCTCTCCTCCTCCGCTCTCCTCCTCCTCCTCCTCCTCCTCCCCGTCCACCCTCCTCCCCCCTCCTCCCCCTCCTCCGCCCAGGCGGTGGATGTGGATAACTCCCCGCCCCCGCCAAGGTGACCGCGATCACCCTCGTGGCGCTCGGCACCTCCCTGCCGGACCTCTTCGCCTCCAAGACCGCGGCGTTGCACGAGCCCTTTGCGGACGCCTCCGTCGGCAACGTGACCGGCAGCAACTGCGTGAACGTCTTCCTCGGGCTGTGATGGGCTTGTTTTCCACCACCACCACCACCACCACCACCACCACCACCACCACCACCACCACCACCACCACCAGAAGTTGGAAGGAGGAGGAGGAGGAGGAGGAGGAGGAGGAGGAGAAGGTGGTGGAGGAGGAGGAGGAGGAGGAGGAGAAGGAGGAGGAGGACCCCCTCCCCCTCCAACTTCTGGTGGTGGCGGTGGAAAACGAGCCCATCAGGCTGGGCCTGCCGTGGATGATCGGCTCCCTCTACTGGACTGCGGAGGGCCCCACCGCGGAGTGGCGGAGCCGGTATCCGGAGAACCGAAGCGTCAGGGGCAGCTCGGGTCAGTAGGCCACGCGCAGACCCAGACCTCCTCGCGCTGTGAAAAAACACGACGAGGGGGTTCTCGCTATTTTCAGCCTCCGGGGGCCCTTCCCGGGCCTCGGGACCGTCAAAAAACGACTCAGGATGGAAAACCGGCCCCGGGGAAAGGGTCCAGACCTCTGGGGGTCGACGTCGCGAAACAATCGCAACGTCGGGGGTCTGGGTTTAGGAAACCCACCCACAGAAGGAATCGGGCAGGGCAGGGCTGCTCGGCCACGCGCAGAGGGGGGGGGGGAGGGGGGCTTCTTAGGAGCACCCCTGCTGCTTAGAAGGCGCGGGCCTTCTCTATAGATGTAAGGCTGGCGCCTTCTAAGAAGCAGCCTCCTCCTAAGAAACCCTCGCCCCTCCCTCCACCCCCTTGTGCGCGCCGCCAACTCACTCGGGTTCCGGCTTTCGGGAATCCGAGCGCGAGTTGCCCCAGGCCCGAGTTACCCCGGCTAACTCGGGCGCCCAGAGCCCCGAGTCATCAGGGGCAACTCGGGTCAGGGCTCACTCGGGTTCGGTTTTTCGGGGATCCGAGCCCGAGTTGCCCCGGGCCCGAGTTACCCCGGCTAACTCGGGCGCCCAAGGTACGAGTTCGATGCCGACATCGCACAGCACTTCCGCGATTCCGGCGCGTTCGTCGTGAAGGCAGGCGCCCTCGTCTCCAGCGTGATAGTCTTCACTTGCATGGCGGGGCTGTGCATCATGGTGCTCCACTTCCGCCGCAAGCGGTACGGCGGCGAGCTTGGCGGCCCGAGACTGCCCGCCATGGCCACGTCTGCGCTGCTGGTGTGCTTCTGGATCATCTACGTCGTGCTCTCCTCCTACTTCGCCTTGTCGAACAAGTCATCCTGCTAATGAGTTGGCCCGACTGCCCGGCGATCGTTGGGCGACAGCGTGGGGCCTCAGGGAGGAGGAGGAGGAGGAGGAGGAGGAGGAGGAGGAGGAGGAGGAGGAGGAGGAGGCGGAGGAGGAGGGAGGAGGGAGGAGGGAGGAGGAGGAGGGAGGAGGGAGGAGGGAAGAGGGTGAGGAGGAGGAGGTGGAGGAGGTAGGAGGGAGGGGGAGGAGGGAAGGGGGAGGAGGGAGGGGAGGAGGAGGGAGGGAGGAAGGAGAAGGAGGAGGGAGGGTGAGGGAGGAGGAGGTGGTAGGAGGGAGGAGGAGGAGTGGAGGAGGAGGAAGTGGATGAGGAGGAGGAGAGGTGGGTGGAGGTGGGAGGAGGCTGATAGGGAGGAGTGAGGAGGTTATTAGGAGGAAGTTTTTCAGGAGAGAAGGCCTGCGGGGGCTGCCGAGGATCTCGGCCGTTTTGGCTGGCCGGGCTGCGCAACCCCCCCCCCCTGGCCCTGTCTTTGCGTTTGTTGATGGACAGTGTTTTCCCCTCCTCGCCTGGCCGTTTTCTAGTTTTCTCCACCCCTGCTCCCTTCATCCCCCTTCCACCTCCTCCCTCCTCCCCTCCTCCTCCTTCCCGCCTCCTCCCCCTCCTCCTCTCCTCCTCCTTTACTCCTCCTCCTCCTCCTACATCCTCCTACTCCTCCTTCCTCCTTCCTCCTACTTCCTCCTCCTCCTTCGCCTTAACTCCTCCTTCCTCGCTCCTCCTCCTCCTCCTCCTCCTCCTCCTCCTCCTTCTCCATTCCGTCTCCTTATAGATGACGTCTCCCTGTCGCACCCCGGGGCCTGTTTTTAGGGCGGGCCGGGCGTTTCTACTGAGCCTGCCTCACCAGCTACGACTCTGAAGCTGAAGAAGTGAGACAACAGCTTCGCAGATGGCGGGCGGGTGGGTTCCAACATGTGGTTCTCGCCCGAGCGCCGCGCAGATTCTTTTTAAACGTCTGCAAGAGCTTCACGGATTGAGGGCGGGTGGCTTTCAAAGTGTGGCTCTCGCCCGAGCGCCGCGCACGTTCGCGTTCAGCATTTGCAAGAGCTTCACGGATTGAGGGCGGGTGGGTTTCAGCATGTGATTATCGCCTCAGCGCCGCGCACATTCGTTCAAAACATGTGCAAGAGCTTCACGAATGGAGGGCGGGCCGTTTTCAAAATGTGGCTCTCGCCTGCGCGCCGCACACACTCGTTTCAGACAGATTGTAAGAGCTTCACGGATTGAGCGCGGACCGTTTTCGAAATGTGGCCCTCGCCTTAGCACCGCGCGCATTCGTTTTAAGAAAATGCAAGAGCTTCACGGATTGAGGGCGATTCCTTTTCAAAATGCGGTTCTCGCCTCAGCGCCGCGCACATGTTAAAAGTTTGCGCGAGCTTCACTGGTTCCCAGGATCCACGTACCATAAATTGCATCTTGGAAGGATTCAAGATTATGCGGGTGCAACAGTTATGTTGATTCGTGGTGTTGACGTCCCACACATGACGCTCTGGCACGATTCCGTATCGTCAAGACGGAGCAGTCAGGTTGATTGATACTTGGCGTTGAAATCCTTCCGAGAACAGTACGTTGGCATGCATCCGGATCTTCAAACGGTTGTCTTCCAACGAGGCAGTTCTCTCAATGGAAATGAACCGTTGTAGGGGCCTGTGAAGAGGGAGCTTGGAGGGAGGGTTAACTCCAACATCGTTGATTATTCTTGGGTTTACGCTGGTCCTCCTCTTCCTCCTCCTCCGCTTCCTCCTCCTCCTCCTCCCCCTCCTCCCCCTCGCTCCCCCTCCTCCTCTTCCTCCTCCTCCTCCTCCTTATCCTCCTCCTCATGCTCCTCCTCTCCTCTCCTCCATCTCCTCTCCTCCTCCCCCTCCTCCTCCTTCCGTATCCTCTCCTTCGACTCTGCTCCTGCTCCTGCTCCTGCTCCTCCTCCTCCTCCTCCTCCTCCTCCTCCTCCTCTTCCTCCTCCTCCTCCTCCTCCTCCTCCTCCTCCTACTCCCCCTCTTGCTCCTCCTCCACACGCACTGCAGCCGCTTGCAGTTTTAGCGGGAAGCTCTCCCGTGGGACCTAGAGGTTTCAAGCGCTCGGCTATCTTAGACCCCTGCGAGGCCTCAAGGAGGACCTCCCAGGAGCCCAGCGCGCTCCGAGGCCTCCGTCCAGGGGGCTTCGGGATACGGCTCCGGGAGACGGCAGGGGCCTCGGACGAGCTTCTCGGCCTCCCCAGCCCTCCCCCTTCTTGCCGTCCTTCCTGCGGCCTTCCTGCTGCCTTCTGCGATCTGACTACACCTCCGCGCCGCGGCGGCAGTGGACCTTCCGAGACGCTGCAAAACATGGGGCAGCCCTGACCGCGTCGGAGCTTCCACAGCTGCAAGATGCCGGCCAAATAATTCCGACGTCGTTGTTTCCAACCGTCCTGTGGTGTGGGGTCCTCGTTATGAAGAGACGGTCCCCGCGTTCTCCTCCTCTTCTCCTCCACTCCTCCCCCTCCTCCTCCCTCCTCCCGTCACCCCCCTCACTTTGGCTCCAGTGCCACCGCCCGCATGCGTCCCCCACACCCATTTCGGCACACCCCTCACACGCTTCGCCACCCCATAGGGAGCTCCACCGAAGGCCCTGGTCCCATTTCGGCACACCCCTCACACGTTTCGTGGCCCCATAGGGAGCTCCACCGGAGGCCCTAGTGGGGGTGCCGTCATGCGGTCCTCACACGCATTTTGGCACACCCCTCATTGGGCTCGTGGCCCCATAGGGATTTCCAACGAAGGGCTTAGTGGGGGTGCCCGCATGTGATCCTCACATCTATTTCGGCACATCCCTCACACTTTTCGTGGCCCCATAGGGAGCTCCACCGAAGGCCCTAGTGGGGGGGCCCGCATGCGGTCCCCACACCCATTTCGGCACACCCCTCACACGTTTCGCCACCCCAAAGGGAGCTCCACCGAAGGCCCTAGTGGGGGGACCCCGGTCCCCACACCCATTTTGGCACACCCATCACACGCTTCGTGGCCCCATAGGGAATTCCACCGAAGGCCCCAGTGGGGGTGCCCGCATGCGGTCCCCACACCAATGTCAGCACACCCCTCACACGTTTCGTGGTCCCATAGGGAGCTCCACCGAAGGCCCCAGTGCAACAGTCCACTTGCGTCCCCCACACCCATTTCGGCACACCCCTCACACGCTTCGCCACCCATAGGGAGCTCCACCGAAGGCCCAGTGCCATCGCCCACATGCGTCCCCCACACCCATGTTGGCACACCCCTCACACGCTTCGTGGCCCCATAGGGAGCTCCACCGAAGGCCCCAGTGCCACCGTCCACATGCGTCCCCCGCACCCATTTCGGCACACCCCTCACACGTTTCGCGGCACCAAATGGAGCTCCACCGAAGGCCCCATTGCCGCCTTCCATTTGCGTCCTCCACACCCATTTCGGCACACCCCTCACACGTTTCGCCACCCCATAGGGAGCCCCACCGAAGGCCCTAGAGGGGGGACCCGGTCCCCACACCCATTTTGGCACACCCCTCACACGTTTCGTGGCCCCATAGGGAGCTCCACCGAAGGCCCCAGCGCCACCGTCCACATGCGTCCCCCGCACCCATGTCGGCACACCCCTCACACGCTTCGCTGCTCCACCGAAGGCCCCACTGCCGCCTTCCATTTGCGTCCTCCACACCCATGTCGGCACACCCCTCACACGTTTCGCCACCCCATAGGGAGCTCCACCGAAGGCCCTGGTGCCACCCATTTTGGCACACCTCTCACACGCTTCGTGGCCCCATAGGGAGCTCCACCGAAGACCCCACTGCCACCGTCCACACGCGTCCGCCGCACCCATTTGGGCACACCCCGCACTGGGCTCGTGGCCCCATAGGGAGCGCCGCCGAAGAAGATATTCACAATTGGGGCACGCACAACTGCATTATGGTTGGGTCCTTCGCCGGGCTGAGGGCTTCATTTGTGGAGCCCGTGGAGGTCTGGAGCGCTTCCCCGCCACCGGTCTCTCGTCCCGAGTCGTTTCTGGACGGTCCTGGGGCCCAGCAAGGGCCCCCAGTGGCAGAAAATCCCCGCGCAAGTCCGTCAGGCTGTGTTGGGAGCACACCGGGCGCTGCCAGAGGCATCTCTTGCCCAGGGCGTCCCCGGGACTTCCAGGGTGGCCCCCGCGGCCGTCGGCCAGCGCACCCCGCGGGAGGCCGAGAGAGAGCGCAGCGGTCAGAGGCTCATCAAGCGGGAGTGGGAGGGAGAAGGCGTGCACGTCAGAGGTGCGCTGGCAGAAGGGGTGAAATTGTCGTGTATACAATCTCAGGCTTATGGTGTTCCAGCCTACCTATCTGCTTCAGCCTGGACCACGAGAAAGAGTCTCGAGCACCAAGAAAGCACAGACGCTGGAGGGCTTCCACGTGTTGGGCCCTGGGAGGCGATACTCGTTCGACACTGTTTCGATGCTTTTCTGGGTGCTCGATTTGTTTGGGGGATGTGGTCCCTAAGTACGATGGGAGCAACGTAATCTCGGCGTCATCCCAACATACTAATACTATATGTGCGTCGCCCCCCAGGGGCGACGCGCGCACCGAGAAATCTCATAGTGTATGCGTCGTGGCGGGTTTTCTGGCCACGCCGCTCGAGAAGCGATATACTACAAGATGGGTATGTCATATGTTCGGGGCGGACGCGCGCCTCCAAGGAGAGCATCTAGTATTAGTATGACTTCGTGCGTCCCATAATCTCAGACAAGAGGCATCCTAAGAATGAGCAGCTTCCCAAGGGATACCCCTTGCATCCTTGCCCCCCCGGCTCCTCCTGGCCCTTCGCCGTGGGCCATGAAGGTCTTCGGCTTCATTCTTGGGGCGTCAGCAGGTCTCGCTTCCCCAGTCGCACTGTACACTGGCGGAGGAGGAGGAGGAGGAGGAGGAGGAGGAGGAGGAGGAGCAGGAGCAGGAGCAGGAGCAGGAGCAGGAGCAGGAGCAGGAGCAGGAGCAGGAGGAGAGGAGAGGAGAG